AGTCAATAGAGGAGACTCCAATAGTTCAAACTCCAAACCCAAAGCGGATGCGAAATATGATGTATGAATGAATGAGATACACCAGTATCAATCAACACATTGGCAATAGAGTTTAACAACAAAAGGTTACTTCTCACTACAGAAGGTGATGGCAACTGATCTGTCATGATAACAACATACACACACCTTGAAGGCCTCTACTTTACTAGCTCACCCCTTAAAGCATAGGCTTGATACACGGATTGAGCAGAACTGGGTCCCTGATTAGCCCTTGAGGCCTGTGCTAACTGTGCTGGCTGATGGCTTTGTGTTTACCTCAAACTAGATGCACTAAATGTGCCACCAGACTAAGGACAAAACCTCCTCAAGTGCCCCGACTGCCTACATTGATAATAGATGGGCGGCTGACGTCTCCCTTGACTCTAACTCTAAAGGCGAGCCGAAGACGGTGTAGACTGTTGCCCTTCTTCTCTCTACAGGAAAACTGAAGATTTGGGGCCCCACTAACCACATTTGAAGCAAGTGAACCCTTTCTAGTTACCTCTCCCCAAACCCAAACTTGTTACCAAAAAGGTAGATCTTGACTGGGTAGCCTGGAACTGCTATGGAGTGGAACCTTTTTGTAGTTTGTTATCCCTAGTATCCCTCTAAACATCTTGGGACCTCTGTCTGGAACCCTTTATTCACTTCTCCTCTGCTTGGATTATGGTCTCTAAGTGGGTCACCGACTCCACAAGACGGCCGTAATCCTGAATCATTGACCCTACTACCTTGAAAGGAGCTCGGTTCTTAACCTCTTCTCGAACTCGATGTGGCAAAGCTCTTCTATTGGCACAAATTCCAGTGCAAACCTCGATAAACTAGTGAAAGCTGCCTCAAACACGGCTACTGACATGTTTTTCTTCTTGAGGTTCAGAAATTAGTCTCTCAACTTCTCTCTAACCATGGGTGGCAAAAACTTGTCCTAGAAGGCGTTGACAATAGCCTCCCAAGTCACCTCAATATGCCTCTGCACATACTTCCATCACTTTTAGCTGGAAAGACGCCAAGGTCACTTTCAACCCATCGTCCTCGATGCCAAGCATCTTGAACATCTTAACCATCTATTCAAGCCACTCGTTAGCCTTTAATGGCTCTTTTAGATCCCCTAAAAATTTGTCTGGATTCGACCGGAAGAACTCCCTCTACAGAAAAAGATGGCCCTATTTCTGCAACATAGGCCTGGACTTGATTCTCAACCTTGAGAATGTCCATGGATTCCTGCAATGCTTCGGCCATTTCACGGGCTAAGGCGCCCATGGCTTGCTGACCTACTAGCTCGGACACGTTGGCCTGGCTAACTCCTTCTTCCTGTGCTAAAATTTCATCTGGGATTGGTACCTCTTGCCGCCTAGGCCTGCCACGCCTACCAGCACCACATCTACGTCCAAACATCCTAATAAAAATAACATGATAGATTAGCACATTTACAAATGTACCGAAGCTAATTCACTCCACATAAGCACAAAATCATATAATCACAAACGAATTTCCTTTTTAGATAATGACCCTCCCGCGACATTGCTAGAGTTCCAGTTAGAAATAGCAGTGATCAAGTGTTCTTCTAACAGGACATCTAGAAACTCGTAGATCTAATCGATATCTTAGAAACCAAATCTCATACCAATCTAGTCACATAAACACATTATCAAATAGCATACCAGGTCTACTTCTAATATCATCTAGCGAAATAAATCTATTATGGTAAAAACCGCATCCCACGATCCCAAAGTATTCAAACCGATTAGCTCTAATACTTCATATTCATTCAACTTTCATTAAATACATTTGCAAATATCATGTTGATCAGACAGATAGAATCTCATTCACACTTGCAAAATCATAGATTCAAAAAACTTACCACATTAGGACATTCAGAAAATAGAGTAAATAAGAAATATATTTACTAAGACATTACTCACAATGATTCAGTTGCTGACACGTCCTTGTAGATGATCCTACACAATTCATAAACATGCACACAATGAATCACATTATTCATTCGAACCCTTCTCTAACTTATTTAATTCTCTAAAGTTTCGTTCTAGCCCATTAATTCATTTAGGATGCTCACTTCATGCGTAAGAATGCTCAGAAAGGAATGAGAACGGAAATGTGATCAAAGTATAGCTTTTGAAAATATGCTAAAATAGGGCACTTTGCTCTAATGGACAACATAGTCTGCAAAAGTACTAGATTGGCCAAAACTAGGCTCGATGTTTACTCGAGCCAAGGTGAAAAATGAAAGGTGGTTGCTCAAGTGGTAACTTTGTTGCTCGAGCCAACTGCAAATGTCTGTTAAAAAATACTGGATACCTGAGATATGTGCTCGAGCGAAAACTTCTTTGCTCGAGCGATGCAGTTGAATTATGGGTTTTTCATAATTGAATTTGAGCTTCAAAACACAAGTTCAATACCAAAAACCTTTGCATGACATGTTCTTAAACACATAAATACCTTCAAAAACATGAATACAAAGCCCACTTCAAACCCTATGTTCAAAACTTCATGAATTCACCATACATGACCCAATTGACTTCAAATTCTTTTCCAAAACTTTCAAAATGTGGAATTCAACTTCAAAACCTTATAAATCATGGATGCACGGATGATATAACCTTCAATTGAAGCTTAGATGACAGGAATCATGCTCAAACTTATGAAACTCAACAAAATCATGCATGCATGTATGATTTAACACCAATTCCTTCATTCTAAGCTCAATTCTCACATTTAATCACATAGTTACTTGAATTCACATAATTGGTGGCTTGAACTCATGAATTAAGGTTCAAAAGCTTACCCAAGGTCTTGAATCAAGCTTTCTCTAGCCAATTTTTGAGCTCTCCCTCACAATTTCACAGCTTCCTTTTATTTATAAGATTAACTTAATATACTAATTAGGGATTAAGCTAGTTAATTAAGTTTAAGGCATAACCAAGCAATACTTAGCTTAATTGATTTAATCTAATTAATTTAACATGAATCAAATTTTATCTTCCCATTAGGCTCCAAAAATTATGCCAATCACAATAGACTAATCAATTTCGATTTCTGACGCTATTAAGGCCTTCAATTTCATATTACAATAGAAATCACAACAGATATTCCTACGGCTAACATATATGAATCCAAAAATCATATTAATCACATAATTAGCATTCAAATTTACACTAAACACATAAGCACATTTAAAACTAAAGGATTAAAAACATAATACATGACAGGATTGTCACAGTCACGAAATGTAATGTCGTTGTAGACCCTACCTGAATTCACATGTTTGGACTTACCTATCACGACTCCAATTCATCCCAAATAAGATAGTTAGGTGACCGGCCAGTAATTGCGGACTACCAAAGGCCTAGCTTACAAAACAAGTTGAACTTTTAGAATAATTGAGACAAAGTAAAGTTTATAAATATTAATAATTAAATTTATAAAAAATTTCATTAATCTACAAATATCTTGTCAAAAAATCACTATCGTGTAATTTCTCCTTAAAAAACCATTTGTACCATTGGGCTGGAATTGTCAAACTATAACATTTGGGATCACTACAGGAAATTACATTTTTTCCGACTAAAAATTTGGTCGGCAAAAGTCCATTTTTAGTCGACAAAAGCTATTCGCGACCAATTTTTTGGTTGCCACTTTGGTCGCCAATTGAGGGTCGGCAAAAGTAATTAGCGACCAAAACTTTTGTTAGTTGAGAAAAAGTTAGATTTGCCGACTAAATTTTTAGTCGCTAAATATATCATTATTGCGACTAATCCATTTAGTCGCTAAAACACTTTAGTCGCGAAAAATAACATATTCCTGACCAAACATATTAGTTGCCAATTGTCACATTCCACGACCAAAAATTTTTGTTGCCAATTGTCACATTCCATGACTAAAAAGTTTGGTCACCAATTGTGACATTCAACGACCAAAAATTTTGGTCGCCAATTGTGATATTCCACGACCAAAAATTTTGATCGCTAATTGTGACATTCTACGATGTCTTAGTTTGGTCGCCAATTGTCACATTCCACGACCAAAAAGTTTGGTCGCCAAAAGGAATGTTTGCGCCAACATACAACAAAATAAACCTGTAATTCATAATAATCTATCCAATCCATTCAATATAATCTATAATTTACAAAAATCAATCAAACCAACAATTCACCTGAATCATGAACATTCAACAACATATATAAATCATTAAATTTTGAACCTATTTAATTAAAGTTAGCAACTATTACAAATTTTCTTCCACAAGTAATTCCAAACTACATATTCCTTCAATTAAAAATCCGCTTGTAATCTATATAATCATCCAATTCACATCCATCTAGCATTAAAATTTAAAACATATTCCCTAAGTGAAGAGTAGAACTCCTTTCTCATAGCATCAATAGCTTTCATTGGTTGAGCAGAAAGAAAATTCTTCTAGCAGTATTCATATCTAGCTACGTCTCTTTCAGCTTCTTTCCAGCCCTCATAAGCCCGAACAAGAGCAAGGTGATCACTATAATCACATGAAAATTGTGCTTTTGGTGCTTCTGCTAGCTGCAAAGAGAAAGACACACAAATCAATTAGTGAAACCGATAAGATCAGATACTCAATTTTCCAACAAAAACTATCTATTAGTGAAACCACAATGCCTTGTTACACGTCACTCTAAATAATCTAGACAGGAGTTACAAGTTAAAAACTAGATAAATTATAGAATGGATTGGGAGGCAAAAAAACACAAAATTAAGGATATGGTAAAAATAGATAAAGTTGTATCTCTATAGAGAGAGAGATAAATTATAGAATAAAATGTCCATAGACAGAAAAAGAAAGATAAATTATGGAATAAAATGTCAATAGACTAGTGCGATAACAAAGCTGTATAAATAGGTCTCTTTTATATGCACAAAAGCATCACCCACTTCACAACCATTTGGTCCCTACACCATCTAACTACAGACTATGGTAAGTCTTAGTCATTCTAATTCTCTCTCATCTTTTTCTCTTTATTCAGTTCTGTTATCAACACAGAAACCAAATACAAAATACATATGGATAAGATTTTTAAGTGTTGGGAGAGCCCACTTTTAAAAAATCTTATATAAAATTTTGTGATTGGTTTCTGTGTTTCTGGACTTGGTCCTGTGTTATAGACAAAAATAAACACATAATACATATAAATAGACAAGAATTTAAAAAGTTGGTTTGTGAAAAAACTTGTCCATTCACATATATTGTGTTCGATTTTGTGATCGATTTTTGTATTCCTAAACTTATTCATATATCAATTGTTAACCCTACATCAACCAAAGAGTATCTGAAAAAGAACAGAGCTAATGTGTAGTGTGTTTATTCGTATTCCTAAACTATTTGTCAGACCCCTGTTCAAAACTGCATCCACTCAAGGGATGTAAGATTCCCAATAGTACATCAACAAGGCCTGTCCAGGAAGCTTCTGCAAGTTGCAATTCTACATTCTGGTTCAACTTTTTAGGTGCAACATCCTCATCTAGATTATCATCTGTTCTTTTTCTCTTGTCCAAGAACTTAAGACGAACATGTTTTGGTTTCAGTTTTTCTATACCTCTTGGAGAAAACGGGATTGGTTCCGACTCTTCAACGGTATTTTTGACATGCAAAGCTCGAGAATGTGATGGCCAATGCCTCCAAATTAACTAACTGACAGAAAGACACGCAACGCAACCTCATCACCAATAGCAATCAATACTTCCAAGAGCTTCTCCATGTCTAGAAAAAAAGAACATAATGTCCAGAACTTCTAATAGGATAAAGTTGGTTGTTTATGAGAAACCAAAATCCAAAAATAAATAAATAAAATGCTTACAGTTGTTGGGGCTACAAAAGAGTCCCTGTTCAAATGCCCATCGCGAGGTACTCAGTAAGCCCATTGAGCATGATAATGTTCATAGCTGGTTCCAAACAACAGAATCCTTGGTGTCAATCTCTACAACTTGAAGATAGCAGCGTAGAGCACTATCATAATGGGCAGGACCTTGTTGAAGAAAACCAGTGGCAAGGTTCTTCAATGCCAAAAATCTGTAAAAAAAAAAAGTAAATGGGATTGATGCCTCATCAAAATTGAAATAAAGTTGATCCAAAAGATCTCGATTCAATAGTGTTTCCATGACTCTACCACCCCCAGTCAATTTTGTTCCACTTCATCCCTTTTTCATGGCTACATATCTTTCAAGCCAAGGACTAGGAGATTTTTCTCCTGTTACATTAACCCAATTTCCATTTCATTTGGGAAAAGCCAACTTTTTATGAACAATGTCTTTATCATTTCATCCAAAAGACTTTTGTTAGATAGAAAGAGGTTTGATAAATACCGATACATATTAGATAGAGTATTAGAATGGAAAGATCCAGTAGATAATGAACTATTGGTTCTAAGCCATCTTTGGTGAGATTTCCCAATATCATGCTAAAAATAGCTTGGATTCCAAAGGAAAATGTCTTTATTTTGATGAGACATATAAAGGAATATTGAAAATTCAAGTGGCTAAAGTTGAAGCAACTACTTTTGAGGTAAGAGAAAGAAAAACAATGACTAGAGTGTGAGAGTCAAAGTCAAAAAGATGATTGAAGTAAGAGAAAGAAAGTTTTGATGCAAAGGAAAAACTCGATAAAGATTGAAACCTCAAGAGATGCCTTAATTTGAAAGGCACCAAAACAGGGGAGCCAAGTAGTTGGTAGCTTTTTCTTAGTATATAGACTACAAACTCCACTTATGCCAGATTTAGGGCTTCATCTTTTCACAATTTAAATCTGAAACCCAAATAACAGCCATGATGCCTAAAATTAAAGGTGCCAAATCTTAAAAGACATAGATAAAGCTCAGTTATGAAATGTGCTATTTACACTCAGGCACCTCTAAAGTTCCCAAAAGACTAATATAACATCATTAATCTTATTATTTTCACACATAATGATCAAAAAAGTATTCTCTCAAACAAACTTAGTATCCATTCACACATATATTAGATAGTTCATAATATGCACTTTGTTCGATCCTAAAACCCTAGCTTCCTCGTTTTCTCCACATTTTGAAGATTTCAAATCCAACATCTTATATTCCTAACCCATGATAGATTCTGAAGCTCATCCTTGAGCACCAAAACCCATATTATCTTGATAACTTTTCTAACAATCAACATTCTTATGGAAATTCGAAATCGAGGCACATGCAAGTGGGAAAAAAGCATGATACCCCTGTTAAAGCCCAAAATTTTCGCAATTAAAAAATTCTGAAATCCCACTATTGTAACTTCTATTTACCAACACTAAGGAAACCAAAAACATCAAACCAACCACTATGCACTATTTCATCAATGTTCTTTGAAAGGCACCAGAACAAGCCAAGTAGTTGGTAGTTTTTAAACTAAATCGAATCCAATAAAATTGTGCTCAAATATGATTTGAGCAAACTTAAAGTCTTCAATATGACTAACCAGCACAAGAATTTTCAGCTTTATCAAATAACCACAAATATTTGCTGCTATCTAAAATCTTCAATCATGAAAAGTTTCAAGAGGAAATGGTTTCATCAAATTAATGAGATGACAAGTAAATTAAGAAATTTCAATACAACCATATTCAATATAATATGATGTGTGCATTAGAGCATAAAAACAGAACTCAATGTCAGAAGCCTCAAAAAAACACAACAACTCCACAAATTCAACAAGAACAATATTATGGAATTGCAATGCATTAGGGAAACAGAAAAATAGCAGAAACCATGACATTAACACACACCTTATCTTCCTAAATGTAGAAAAAATCATGTGAGTGACCGACATTGAAGGCCTAGACGAAACTCTTGGCTCAGCAAACCAGCGAGATGGAACACCTTTCAACACAATTGTATTAGGCTGCTGCTGCCTCCCACCTCTTGAATATCCTACAACCAAACAACACATACATACATCCATTATTACCAGTAGTTCTCGCAAAATTATTAGGCATTTAGAAGAAAAAATAGTGAGTTAGATTACTGAATCCATTATTGTAGACAGCAAGACCAGTAAGCATCAAAAATTCAAAACTATGGATAGAATCAAGAACAAACCTCGATTACCAAACACATGAAGCTCTTCCCACTCTTTCGTCATTCCAAAATCATCTGATTCTGGAACTAAAGCAGTCAATCTAAACTTAACACCTTCAAGATTCAACTCAATCCCGTCAGTCTTACCAACAACCAATCTTTTCCAGTCCAGAAACTTCTTCTCGAGTTCCTTAACATCGTCTTCTCCATCTATACCATGAAGAATTTCCGATCTGGAAAACTTGGATAAAAACCCTAAGTCGCGGATGAAGAGAGCGCCGTGAGCGACAGGATCATCGCGTTTGCGCTTCTTAAGGTCCTTGAATCTGTGAACGACGATGTCGTCTTCGGGAACGGCGAGGGAGAAGGAGGATTTGAGGAAGTCGGTGACAGAGCGCTTGAGTTGCCACTCGTCGAAGGGCTTGACGGAGTGGTCTGCACAGTGGATAGTGAGGAGGAGCTGAAGAGAGAGTGTGTTTTTAGAGAAAGAAATGGGAGGAAAACTAGTAAAAACACAAAAAAGGGGGGGAAATTAGTAGCCAAATTTTTTTTCATTACCTGCTCAATATTTCAAAATTCTCCCTCTAAAATTTGTGACAAAATAATTTTTCCACCAAAAGATCTCAAAATATTAAAAATTATAGGCCATGAAAACATACTTCCCACCAAATGATATCAAAATATTTAGACTCATTGGTGACGAAAATATATTCCTCACTAATAATTTTATAATTTGTGAAAAAAAATTTCCTCTCCAAAAGTCTCAAAATTTGAGCACCATCTAAAAAAATTTAGACGAAATTTTTTTTATGATGAAACTTAATTTTTTCTCACCTAAAAAGAAGTATTTATTGACGAAAATAAATTTCCTCACCTTTTACTTTTCCTTTTTTTTATTATATGTGACAAAATTTATAATTTGTCACAAATTAATCTTATTTAGTGACAAAAATTAGGAGGACAAGGGGTGCTAAACAAAGAGAGCTAACTTGTGTTTTGTTTTGAGAGAGAGAGAGAGAGAGAGAGATAAGAGGAAAACTGATAAAAACAAAAAAGAGGGAAAAATTAGTAGTCTATTTTTTTTTTAATTACTGCCCAATATGTCAAAATTCTCTCTCCAAAATTAGTGACAAAATTATTTCTCACCAAAAAGACTCTAAATATTAAAAATTTCAATTCTTGATCGACAACTGATGTGATGTTAGATGTTAGATCAACGTCAACTGATATTCACCGGAGAGAGATGAAAGAGATTGAGAGAAAGAGAGGGGTAGGATGTCAACTATGAGAGACCGATTGACAATGAGAAGAGAGAAAGTGAAGGGGATCAGTGATGAGAAGAGACCCCTGCTGATAGTCCCTTTTTCACCGAAGAGAATAATGGAGAGAGAGAGAGACTCTCACCGTCGTTGATGAGAGAGGGTAAGGGGGTCGGTGATGAGAAGCTTCTGAATCGGGATAGCACAAATGAAGGAGAGACGAGAGAATGAAAAGGATGGAGAGAGAGAGAGGGAGAGAGACCAAGTGGTCTGATGATCCCAAAAAAATAATTTTTAAGTAATTTATTTTTTTCAAACAATAATCTCAAGTGATTTTTATTTTTTTTTAGGTATAATATAAATATTTAATTATTTTTATAAAAAAAATTAAAACTCATAAAAGACAAAAAAAAAAAAAAACGAGTGACGTCGTTTAACAATCGGCGACCAAATTTTTTTTGTCGCAAAAAAATTTCAATTCCTGCCCCCACATTTCAAATTTCCCTCCCAAACTTTTGGTGACCAAAAGACCAAATTAGTCGTAGAAAATGTACCTTCACCGATAAACTTTTTTAGTCGTCAAATCTCAATCAACGACGACTAAAATATTAGTCGCTAAAAGTACTAATTTAGCGACTAAATTTTTTTTGATTGCTGAAAATAAGTTTTTGGCAACCAAATTTTTGGTCGCCAAAGAAAAAAAAAATTATTTTCCATTTGGCGAGTAAATTGTTTTTGTAGCCAAAACTCAATATACGGCAACTAAAATATTTTTGGTCAAGGAAAATAAGTTTTTGACGACTAAAATTTTGGTCGCCAATTTCACAACCAACTTATTTTTGATCTTCTGCAACCAACTTATTTTTTAGTCGCCAAAATGTGACCTTCTGGGACCAAATTTGTAGTTGGTCGCCAAAAGCATACCACTTTCTACAACCAACTCATTTTTTGGTCGCCAAAATATGACATTCTTCGACCAACTCATATTTGGTCGCCAAAAATAATGATCATTCGTGACTAATTAATATTTGGTCGCCAAAAGGTAACTTTTAGTTACCAACTTTTATATTGGTCGCGGAAAGTGATCGCTAAAAGTGCAGATTCTTGTAGTGGATATAGCAACTGAACCGTAAATCTAAATACCCAAATAGATAATTCAGTCAAATTGAATTGAGAAATTTAGTTAAAACCCTTCCATTAGACCCTTGTTTGGTGAAAATAACAGTCCAATTTATTTTTCATCATAAACCCTCTAAGGAGAAAATACATAATTGAGTAAGGACCAAATAGATTTTCTTTCTTTCTTGGACAATATTGCCAGAGTAATATGTTATTGTCAAACAGAATAACATGTTACTATCAAATAGAGTAATTGTCAAACAAAATAACATGTTATTGTAAGACAGAGTAGCATGTTACTATCAAATAGAATAATTATGTTACTGTTACTGTTTACATCAATTTCAATGGTAATATTTATTTTTATTTTTATTTTTATTTTTGAAAATTTCATAGTCAACATAAATCTTATTTGATAGATCTTGATAAGGGAATTCTAAAAATATTAATTTTATTAAAATTCAACATCTATATCAAAAGTTATATTATTGTAAAGTTTAATATTTTAATAATAGTGATATTTGTTGAATTTTTCAAAAAAAAAAACTTTTTATACTTATCTTTAATGAATTTAAATTTTATTATAAGGAGGTTTTGACCAAATTCCCTAACTAAATTTTGTGGACCATAGAACTATAATAAGTGTGGATGTCATCATACCAGAGTTAGATTTAGATTACACATTATTTTTATAAGTAAAATTGAAGTTTCTTTTTTGTGGGATTGAGATTCACTCCAGTATATGATTGTAATGAATGCAATTTCATTTCGCATTATCAATTGGTCGTAAAAGAATCATGTTAAACATTTCTCTATTTTAATTTTTTTTTAAATGTTATTGAATAAAATTAAAAATTAAAAATAACATAATAATTATAGATGATTGATTGAAATGGCAAAGCAAGGAGAGATGCATTCAAATTTGGGGTGATAGAGTTACTATTCATCCTAAGAAAATGAAAATGACACAACAAAGCAAAAGGCAACCTGATGCCGTCAAAGTGAGATATCTATAATATCCTATTCACTTGCATGAAAACCCAGAGACAAGACATAGACATAGTCACACAGGCACAAGCACAGGCGTATTTGCATGTAGGAGTAGTTAGTTAATTGTCTAATGCTGTGTTTGGTTAGAGAATTTGGGAAGAGATTTAGAAATGGAAAGAAAAAAGGTGTGTGAAACTAAATAAAATATAAATATATTTTATTCATATTTCACCTATCTTTTTCATTTTCATTTTCCTTTCCAAATCCCTTAATCAAACACAGCCTAATAGTATCATCTAAGAGTGAATAATAGTATCATCTAAGAGTGAATAACATAAACATTGTATTCAACAGTGGCATCTCCAGTCTTTGCATCGAGCCAAATGGTGTGTGCCAATGCGTAACCACGAGCAAACCTGAAAACCCCACTCCCTCCAACAATCGGCATCTCCCTCACATCATTGTACACTGGGTTCCTCCCAAGTATGCTTATGCTACTCCCATTGTAAATCCCTTGTTCGAATTCATAATACACCACCATCAGCAATTCTGGTATGTTCTTCTCTGACGCCAATGCGTACATCCCTTGAGCTCTTCCCACTAGCTTTGAGTTGCTCTCTGGCCCTTCCGTCAGCGGATCATTCATCATGAAAGTTGTCCCAAATCCCATCACCGATCCATCTTCCGCTCCTGCAATTTTCACTGCTGTTGGGTTCTTCCCACTAACGATGTCGTGGAAGTAGAAATGGAGGTGGGTTGTCTTCTCCATTCGCTTCAAAGCTATGGCTTCCGAGACCTCCTCAGAGAAACTTCCTTGGGTACTGGTCTTGCTTAAGGTTGAGAGGAGGAGGAGGAGGAATAGAGCTAAGTTGAAGAAGAGAGTGAAAGTGTAACTAATCAGAGAAGAAGAAGAAGAAGAAGCCATTTGGGTTTTGTCAAGCTTAGCTTCTTCGTTTGCAAATGTAATTGAAGTAGCTATATGGTGTGTTGTTTTGGTTAAAGGACTAGAATTTATGAGCTTTTTTGCCCTTTCTTGGCATGATGAACTGCTTATTATAAAGTTGGCCTTGTTGAGGAAATCATTGCTTTTTATAAATTTCATGACACAATTTCTATAGCTTTAGCTTGCTTTGCTTCCTTTTCAAGTTGAGGTGAAGTTAAGCAAAGAAAGACTGATGTTTTCTTCACTCCTATCCTTTCGTATCTGTAAAGCACTAGCGTTTTACTCATGATAGGTGACAAACATATTGGAATCATTTTAAAGAGTTTCATATATTATTATGTTAAATTGTTCATTTAATTTGAACTTTTGTGATCCATTTGTTATTTCGACCAAATCTATTGAATTGGATTGAATCGGTCATGTTTGGTCTGTTTTTTAATAAGAATTAATCTGTGTAATTTTTTAATTTGATTTTTTTTTCCGATTCTCGATCTAGTATTGATTCAAGCACCTCATGCACTTAATTAAACAGAAACTGACTTCTTCAATATGTATTGTATTTATATGATATTGATAAGTATAAAAAATTATTAACCGCAATTGATTAATCTTAAGATCCTTATAACCTAAGTTAGTAAACTCTTATTATATACAATTTTAACTCTAACGCATTATTCCTAAAATCTTAATATTTATTTATTTATTTATTTATTTTTGTGCGTATTTTTGTTAATCTAGGAATTGAAAAGTTTTAATTAAATGGATGGATCGGATATATTTGAATTAGTGGACAAATTGACTAATTTATTGTTTTTATATATGCTAATTAGTAGCTCAAATTTGAAAGGCTCTACACCGATTAAATTGCACCGAACCGAACCGTTTCAATTGATGTGGTTTGACAAGAGAAACGATCTGTATCGGTACTTAAAATAATAAAATCGACATTATTGGTTCAATAAAATTTGTTACCTAATTACCAACTATACCAAACTGATTACATCACTAATTATGGTCATTAGGCCGACCCTAAGGAAAGGCAAGCAAGATGACTATTTGGGCACTGTTTGGTTTGGCTAATTTAGTCCCCAAAAAAGATAAAATCATATGAAAAATAATAAGTATTTTTATATATTTTTTAAAGAGATAGTCTTTAGTTCTTTTTTCTTTTTTCTTTTTTAAATAGAAGACAAAATTTGA